TCTATATTACCTATTTAAGGAGTCCACTCAAAAGTTCTCTACCAATTGCTGTACCTAACACTCCTGCTTGGATGTTCCACTTTAAACCCTCTAAGCCTGTAACTTGTGTTAACATCACTAGTCATCTCAGATGCCCAGATAATCATTCTCAACCTTAGGACTAATTTATCCTTGAGATAAACCCTCCAGAGCCTTCTGTATCTATTTTTATAGCTAACCTAGATATTATTATGGCAGAACCAATACTTGCAGTCAGGGCTAACCATTAAACTGTTATGCCTTTGTAAAGTTTACTTAGGCTCTAGCATCTACTTCATAGCATAATCCTGGTACTTTAGTATATCTCTGCCTTTTCCTCTGTCTTTTTATCAAACTTCCAATTCAGATAGCCTATATAGGACTATGATCAGTCCATCAGTATATCAGGTTAGCCCAATATCCTTTTCCTTCAGTTTGTTATGGTGGCCTAGTTGATGGTATCTCTGAAACTCCCAACCTAAAGGTTCTTGCCTATCTAGCTACTAGAACTGAGTACTAGACCTTGGTATCTGTTTTACTGAGCTAGCCTTTACAGTAGAGCTGTCAAAAATCCAGCTACCTCTCTACTCAGGTCTTTCCAAATGAACTTCTTGTTACCCAATTTTAATGGATTTACACAGCCACAAGGACTTATCTAGTGTTTGCACTATCTGATTTGTCAGTTTGCATTCCTCTGTATAACTCCAACATTGCACAGATGCCCCATGACCTGCCAGTCATGCTGGTGCGATCATCATTACAGGTATCCTAACCTAATTGTTAGTAACAGTTGCCATAATATGAATATTACATAGGTGATTATCCAAATTTTCACCATCAATGGAATTTGAACACCCAACCTACTACTTGGAGGGTTGCCAACCTGACTACTTCACTAAGTTGCCACATTTTGTTTTTAGAAGTTTTACTTTTATATATATAAAAAACTTCTTATAATAATTATTTAATCAACAACTTTTTAATAAAATAATTTTTAATTACTATTTTTTAAATATTATTTATAAAAACTATTCTTTATTTTATTCTTTATTTTATTTTTCTTTATATTTTATCTCTATTTCTTTTATTTTTTTATTTGTTTCTTATAATTATTAAAATAAAAAGTTTATTTTCTTAATTAGTTATTTAGCAAATATTAGTTTTATATTATTCTTTTTTTTTTGGTATTAAGGTGACCTCTTTGGTCTAAGCTTTTTATTAATACTTATATCGGGTACATGTTTTATATAGATGTATCTATACTAAACTATTAGACGAGTATACAACTGGCTATATATATAACTTTTCTATATTACCTATTTAAGGAGTCTGCTTGAGGGTTCCCTACCAGTTGTCGTACCTAACATCCCTGTTTAGATGTTCCATTTAAACCCTCTGATCTAACTCTGGTATTAATTTCATCAGGTCATAGACCCAGATCTATTTGCTATTAACTATAGGACTATAATTCTTAGACTATTTTTATCCTTGAGGCAAACCTACCAGAGTGAGCCATATTCTCTTTTATTGCTAATCTGGTTTGATACTATGGCTAAAACTAACACTTGCAGTCAGAATTACTCCTTAAACCACTATTACCCTTGTAAAGTTTACCCAAACCCTGATACCCATCTTTCTGACTTTTTCTTTATTATCGCCTACTAGCCATGGCTTGGAACTAACTGACTCCCCAGACTCCCAATCCAGATGGCCTGATATGGTATACTTATGTATCCTTTTCCTCTAGTAATTCTGGCAGCCTGGTTGGTCATGTGCTCCTCTACACATCTTTGTTATCTGGTTTATCTGACAGTTCCTATAAAGGTATTTTATGGGCTTCCATCAGTCCAATGACACTATCAAAAGTTTGTGCTATCTCTTTACTCAGGATTTCCAAGTAAGTTTCTGTCTCTTCAGTTTCTTAGCCTTCTATGCCTAGTGGTCTTATTGTAGGTTTGCCCGAAGCCTTATACAACATTAGTTTTACATTCTTCTATATATATTTTATATTATTCTTTTATTATTCTTCTTTTTCTTCTAATAATATAAAATAAACAGCTGGTTTTCTTAATTATTATTTGACAAATACTAGCTTTATATTATTAAAATTTAAAAATCAGAAGTGTGATAATTTAGTGAAATGGATAAATTGTTATACCTTCAAGTGATAGGTTGTGAGTTCAAAACCCACTAACAGTGAAATTTGAATAATAATTTATGTAATATATAGACAGTATTATAGTGACAGCATTCTGTCAATCAGTTAGGATAGGATATCTGTAACTATGGTCATATTAGCATGACTGACAGGTCTAAGGCATTTATGTAACCTGTTATACAGAGGAATATAAACTGATATTGGGCAATACAAACCTAAAATAAGTTCTCAGACTATGTAAATCTATAGAACTAAGAAGCTAGAATCTACTTGAAAATTCTGAGCAGAAAGGTAATACAAATCTTTAACAGTACTACTGTAAAGGTGAGATCTAAAAAATGGATCAATGTAAAGGATTCAGGTAGGCAAGAACTTTAGATGAGAGATATCACTAACCAGGCCATTAGATTTTAAACTAAAGGAAAAGGATATTGGGCCAGCCTCAATATACTAAGAACAGGTCACAGTCCTTCTGAACTATCTGGATTAGAAGTCTGGGTTCAAAGCAGGAATATACTAAAAGTACTAGGAATATACTGTGAAGTTAGTACTGAAGTCTAGGTGAACTCTATAAAAGTAACTTGTATTAATATTCTAAAAGTGTGTAGATAGTTAACAATAGAAGATCTTCTGTGCCTTATTGACAAGTAATATATTCTGAAATATATAATGATCTGAGAATCAGTACAAAAAAGGTAGGTAATCATATTGCTCAAACAGTATACTAGTTAGGTATATATGAGAAATAAGTTAGAAATTTCAATATGACAGAGTAGATAATCAGAGGGTTTAAATGAATAATTTTCTAATAGGTTATAAATATAGTATCTAGTATAAAACCTTAGAGTGAACTATTTAAATAGACAACCAAAAATTGTATGTGTGACTAGATGTACTCTCATCTCTGTAAAAATAGTTGTAATAATTAATCTAATATAAAGTCAATAAAGTATCATCACAAGTATAACTTTTAAAAAAAAATAAAATAAAATAAAAAAATTTAAAAATCACATATAGTTGTTTATAGTCTGATTATTAAGACTTTTCTTTTTCTGATTATATTTTATAAACATTTCTAAGTTTTAAAATCTAATAATTCTTATATAAGATAAACATTTTGTTATATCTAATCTGCACAGACTGGACAGTAAGATTAGTCTAAAAACTGGTTCTATTGTTGTACCTTAAAATGCCTAAAAGATTATTAAATTTAAATTCTATTTTTATATATTTATTTCTTATTTTTGTTTATTTTTACTTATTTTATTTTCCTTTAAATAAAAGATCTTTTACTTGGCATTCATGCATTTAAAATTACCACAGCTTGCTAATTATTAGTAAATTTTATTACAATATGTTGTGCATCAAATTAATATTTGTGTCAGATTAAAATAATTATAATCTCACTAATACCGTATAGTTCCGAAATTAAGCATGTAGTGCAGGCCAAAATTGTTATAATGCAGGCCAAATTGTGCATAGTGTGGGCCAGAGGTGCTTATTTTCGGGAGGTGCTTAATTTCGGAACTATATACCCTAACCCAAACATAGACTTTGATTTGACGCAAATTTTAACTTTACACACAACATATATATATATTTATGTTTTACGTTCACAGAAAACAGAATTTGTCCTAAAACAAAATTTAAAATAAAATAACAGAAATGCAGTTTATTGATGCGCAAGATTATGTATGATTTCTATACTATAGCATACCTTTTTTATGTAAAATAATTCTTTAAGTGACAGTTAAAAAATGCTATATTTTTAAGAAGTAAAATATTTGTGCATTCTATATTTAAGAGTATTAAAATCACATAATTGGCACTAAAGAATTGTACAAAAATGACGTCACGAATATGCTTAAAAAATAAGTATCATAGAATTTTCCTTAACCAGACGCCTTAATCGCAACACGAGGCATTATGTAAGCTATCCTAAATTTTGAAAAAATTTGACTACTGAGTCAATTTAATTTGACTTCACGTATACATATCAATATAAGCTAGAGCTATTATGATAATTGTGAAATATGTCCAGATTTAAATTATGATATACTACTGTACTCTGAATCTGACATATAACCTATCTCCCCCCATCTTTCCACTATACCTACTTAATTTTCTTAATTCCACAAATGCACCGTAATGGCATGATAATGTAATTTTAAGATTTTTTGGTGTGAGAAATGATCATAATTTAAAGTTAATTAGGGTTAGAATGGCTAGTAGAGGATACATATAAGTGGCTTTTGGTAGTCTATAAAAAAAATTAAGATCCTAAAATTCTAGAATCATCCGATTCCAATATATATTAAAATAAAGAAAAAAAATTGTATTACCAGACTTTAAAAACATACTGCTCATGACCTAGAATGGTTTAAGCAATTTGATAATATCAAAAAAATTATAGCTATATTAATGCTTACATCTCCAAAAGTATGGTCTAACCCTTTTTTTTATTTAACAAAAAGATATATGCCTTATTTTCTTTATTAACAAGGTGACTTAAACTTTGATTAAGTATTTGTATGAACTTGTACAAGACACAAAATGTACAAGAACAAATCTCATAAGCTGTAAAAAAAATAATTATAATAACATCAATTAGTAAGTATAATTGTTCTTTCAATAATATTTATTCTAATACTTATTAAATTTACCTAGGTATCATGAATTTAATACTGCCAATTATATCTGTCGGCTGCATTCTCCGGAAGATTTCCTTTCGTAAGTTCACACATTATTTCTAATAGAATAGACAATATTATAATATGATTGTAAAACTAATCGTCTAAGATGCTATAAAATGTCAACACTTTACCTTTAACTTTTAAAGGACTAGCCACTCCACATTCGATGCAAAACTATTGATATTTAAATTAAACCTTTGAGTAAATAAACGATTATATTAAACAATAATTATTAAAAAAAAATTAAAATCATTACCTCAAATAATCCTCCCGGCAGAGGTATTCCAACTTGAAATGATGCAATAGCTGCCGCTGCTGTCGCAATTTCACTTGCATTGTATGTGACTGCAATTATTGTACAGCGTAGTGACTCTAGAATTTGTTCGTAGGTTTGTCTAGTGAACTTTTTCCAAATTGCATCCAATGTGCACGTTCCTACAGTCTTCTCAAGTATCGGAGAAATTATCTTATTTACCACCGCATAAGGTGTGTCTTTTGCAAGATCAAGACCAACTGCTGTCATCAAGCAATTTTCATAATGGATAACCGATTCTTTTCGATCAATAAATGCCAAACTTTCTTCGCTCGGACATCTCGTTTCACTCGGCCTCGGCCTGTAAAGTCGTTCTACAATCAATATCAACAATCGAATTTAAAATGATATTATCCTAAACAATGTATAAAGCTTACCTCCAACTGCCTTTGATCGCATTTGTCACTCCAATCCTGCAATTTGTAACTTTTCCTGCAAAAAGCATACAGGCTGCTATCATAAGATCATTATCATGTTCAACCTGATGTGCATATAATTCTGGAAATGCTTTTTTATCTCGTTGTAATTTTGCGTGAAACCTCTGGTAAAATATCAATGTCGCTGCCATACAATTCATAGGTAGTTGTAAACGTAAACAAGATTGAATTATATGATCAATCATGTCTTGGCGAGCATTAGTGATATTGAGAATTGGGGTCTTTGATATTGAATTGCCATTCAAATAATTATCATATTCAAAATAGAATGCATCTTTACGTTCTTTGAGTTCTGCTTTAGCATCATATATCGGTTTATAAGGTCGTGGACGCTCTAATACCACATTCTCATGAATTGGTGAAAAATTAGCTGCACTAGAAGCTTCAGGATGAACCAATGCGGACGATCGAGATTCATCCTTTGAATTCTGTCGATCTAATGACTTTGTGACTATTATGTAATAACAATAAGATTTTTTTATTTTTTTTGAATCTTTCGATAATAGAATTGCGCGTCTAATTTGTTTATTACTTTCAAAATAGCAAATATAAATTCTACCTTTTTTTGGACGATATGAATCATACCTAGATCTTTGGCTTTGGTAATTTGGACGATAAGAGTCGGCCTGTCCGCGAGCCAAAGATCTATGAGAGCTATGATGGGGAGAAGGACTACGACGCGATTTTTCTCGAGACTTTGAAACTTCTCTTCTGTTACTCACACGATCGGAAGATCCTGACTTACGGTCCTTTCGTGAAGGAAGTAAGCTAAGTCGAGAGACTTTTCTATCTCGAGATATAGTTTGAGAACGTATACGTCTTGGTGATTTTGACCTTTTATCATATTGTGGTGGTGAAATACGAGATCGTGACCATTCTCTTCCATTATTTCGATTGACCGGTGATCTAACCGGACTTTTCTTATCCAAATCACGAGTTCTTAAACTTTCCTTCCTATTATAATTACGGCGTGATGGCGACTTGGATGTGCGGTCATTTCTGAATTTTGTAGTACTAATCATCACGAAATTTTGTAGACTGTTAAGTATCGATCACTAACTGTTAATCGATTAGCATAGCAAAGATGTATTTTGATTGGCTGTTAAAAATATCTCGATCGTAATTTATATAAACACCTTAAAAATACAGGTCCGGATCCGATGAATTTCAACCCATAACTGGTATTCCGCGGACCCGAACCGAGATCCGAAATCGACGGTTTAAGCCCGGTTCTACAAATCTTAGAACTGAAGGTACCCACATGAACCTAATCTTTTAACTTAACGTTAACGAAAAGAATGATAACGACCAAAGTGAGCGTCATTTTTTTTTAGTACAGTATATGTTATATAGTAGACGAATGTCACTAGAAGGAAATGCTGTGTATTTACCATTACATCATATAAAATATTTAATGCAACCCGAAAATGTGTACCAGGTTGTTGCTCCGGTGATCATGTGATAGTCCGGAATGAATATCCGGAAATTTTTTACATGTTTCTTTTTTATTGATTATGTGCTTCACGCAAATATTAAAAAACATGACGTTTAAAAACCTTCAAATTATTGTTAATTTTGTTTTCTCGTGTTAATGTTTTCAATAAGTTGTAGATTGCTTTTTTTTGAAAGTATTTTTATGTGTTTTCATTATAGTCGGGTTGACATTTTACACCTTTTTCATTTGTTGTACTCGAATTTTTTTTTCTACTTCGTAATGATTCAGCCTTTATGGTAGAATTTCATTAGTAAAGATAAGTAGTCAGTTTTTCTGATAATAAAGATTCAGTTTTTTTTATACTGCATAGTAGTTTTTGATATTTTTTAAATTTTACTTAACCAATTTAAAATATTATTAAGATCTACATATAAATTTACATTAAACTGTCAAATATTTTTTTCATTAAGGGTAGGATGTAATATTTTAAAATTATATATAAATTTAATAATATATTTTTTTTGTAATTTCAATTATGAAAATTTTTACTAATTAAAGTTTTTAAATAAAATTATAGAGTAGATAATCATTTATGTAATACTTATATTATGGCAATTGTTTTCAATGATTAGGTTAATATATCTGTAATAATGATTGTATTAGCATAACTAGTAGGTCATAGAGCATCTGTATAACTGATTATACAGAGAAATGCAACCTAATATTAGATAATATAAACTTTAAATAAGTTATTGTAATCATATAAATTTATTAAAATTAGAAAACAAGAAGTTTATTTGGAAAGATCTAAGCAGAAAAGTAGTATAGATTTTTAATAATACTATTGTAAAGGTTAGTTTTATAAAACAAATACTAATATAAAAGAATCAAATTGCTAAATAGAGAGTATTATCAATCAGATTACTAAAATAAACTAAAAAAAAGATATTAAGTTAATTTAATATATTAATAAACTAGTTATAATTCTATTAGATTATTTAGATTAAAAGTCTGATAATAATATAATATATACTAAATAAAGATAGGCATATGCAGAATCTGTGCATGATCCTGTGTGTCATGCACAGAATTTTTTTAGATCCCACATAGGATTTTTAATATAATCTTATAATAAGATTATCTAACTAGTATTATTATAACATCTGGCTAGCATTAATATAATATTTTACTTGCATTAATATATTTAGCTAATTCCTAATTAAAATTTTATTTATTTGCATACCATTTCACACATGTTTATTTATATATATAATAAGAATTACCTTTTTTGTTATTGGTATCTTCCGCTTATGTCTAGAAATAAGATATTTTTAGATCTTATATAGAATTTTATATAGTTCTAAAATAAACTTATCTAGCTAGCATTATTATATTATCTGGTTAGCATTAATCTAATATCTGGCCTGCATTAACATATTTGTGCTAATTTCTAAGAAAATAGTAAAATAATATTTTAAATAACTTAATAATTTATTAAAGATGAATTGTAAGTTTCTGTTTGATTGTTTATTAAGAGTCAACTGCCTGATAGTATATAGTTGCAGTCATAAGTATCCCTCTTCTCATAACTTTTTTAATTAAAAAGCTATAAATTTAAAACTTTTATTATAAATAGTACTAGATAAATCTAGGTTGGAAAAAAAATTTTATAATTTTTCAATTACTATAATAAAAGTTAGATGAGAGCTAAAAATTGATAAAATTTAAGTAATTTTATTTATTAAAATTTATTAAATTTAATTAAAAATTAATAAAAAATCAAAATTAAATTTAAAAATTTTAAAAAATTAAAATATTAAAGTTAAAGCATTTTTATAATAATGAAAAAAAATTTGAAATAATTTAATGAGATAGTTATTGAGAAATTAATTTTTAAAGTTAGATGAAGATTTTTACTAAAAAAGTGCAATATAATGTTGTATTTACTTAATAAAAACATAGTCACACAAACCCTTTTTTAGTAAAAATCTTTATCTAACTTTAAAAATTAATTTCTCAATAACTATCTTATTAAATTACTTTAAATTTTTTTTCAATATTATAAAAATCTTGAACTTTAATATATTAATTTTTAAAAATTTTTAAATTTAATTTTGATTTTTTATTAATTTTTAATAACTTTAATTTTAGCAAAAAAAATTTACTATAAATTTTAATAAATTTTTAGCTTTCATCTAATTTTTGTTATAATAATTAAAAAATTATAAAAAATTTTTTTCAACCTAGATTTATTTAGTATTATTTATAATAAAAATTTTAAATTTATAGTTTTTTAATTTAAAAAGTTATAAGGGGGGATGCTTATGACTGTGACTGTATATCAAATATTTTACAATATATTAATTAAATGCTAGATTAGTTCTTATATATACATTATTTGAGTTATTTGTTAACTACTATATTTGATTTGTTCTATATTTCTAATATAGCTACCTTATTAATAAATGATTTATAATGAAATGTAATATAGAATTATTAATACTTTTTTTGGATTAATCATAGTTGACTATATAATTTCAAATTCAAATATTAAATTTAGTCTGTATATTTTTTTTTTTTTTTTTTTTTTTTGAACTTTGGCGACAATGCCAGTTGGTTTTTATTAGTTTAATTTTTGATATAATACAAATTTATGGTTACATTTTAGGATCGATTATTACTAGTACTATATACTATCTAATTTA